ATCGTGAGCATAGTGGCAACATGTCGGGCGACGATTAATTCAGGCGATTGACACATTGCCATGAATACACTTGATAACTGCTTGCAGACTTCCAGTGGTCATTGTTTATGTTTGGACTCTTGAAACAATAGCAAAATAAAGGGTTGGGCAACTACTCTTTTGTTTAGGCTTGGGAAGAACAATGCAAGCTTTTTACAAATAATTTCAGCTGGATGTACGTTGGTGGGCGGGTGTTGAGAGTTACTAGGCGGCCGTAAAACTTGATGGGCGGGCCGCCACCTAAAACCCCTTGTGGAGAACACTGCATTGTCCGCCACTAAGTCACTAACAAAATAAATTTTGCTTTTAATTGCATTATTCTGCTGTAAACTTGTATATTAAATTTAATCACCATGGCGACCAAAATCGTCGCAACCTAGAGGGCTGCTCTAGATCAAGTCCCTCGATATATCAAAATGTTCATAGGTTTGCCATCTCCCTGAATGAATCTTTTTTGTGCTTGCTGTAACTCGATAAACTCGCGTTCTCACTGAAACTGTTGCACAGTTTCAAACTCTCAAGGTGACTGTTTTCAGACTGCAAATCACAGTCCATGACAATACATCTGGTCGAAGTGCTGCTTGAATTGTTTTATTTAGATCATCAGAATTCATGAAATACTGTAATATTCTGTCACATACAATCATAATTACTTGTAGATTATAATTTCAACAATAGTTTAAATGTCATTCCCGTCTAAAAGTTGATGTTTTAATCAGACCTGCATATTGCAATATGTAAGATGTTAGTACATCTGGGAATATATGTAACCTTAAACAATGTGCAGGTCATTCAAATTACAGAGCAGTGGCTTAAGCACATTATTGTTTCAGAAAAAGGCTGTGTGGTCAAGAATTTATGACAGTTGCTTGGTGATTGGGTCATTTCCAGGTTATTGTTACAGACGTGTACATTTCCAGATTATTTATTGAGATCAGATATAACCAGAGATTATTGTGCCATTGAGGTGTCATCATCCTTTGCACTGTGGTTCAACAACCCTAGCTAATTCACTGCTGTTTTCTATTATTACTGCAATGTATTCAAAAGGCATGGGATGAAATGATAGGTCTGTAACATTGCCCACCATAAAAGATCAATCATAGGCGTTGTTTCAGCTCCTGAGTGATCCTTTAGTGCCATAAAAACAATTACATGAAAACTAAATCTAAAAATGAAAGTTTTTTCAAGAGCTTGTTTGGAGAGAATTAATTTATGTACACAACAGTGTTGTTCTGATAAATCTTGTATACATTATTCATTAGGTTATAATCTAGTATACCTTTGGTGGACGATAACATTAGTTCTCTAATTTGTTTTAATATTTTTGTCATTTTTTGGTAAATATTGCTATTTCTGTCTGACAACACCTGCAGTTCTCTAATGTGGGTCAATGTTTAAAAAAAAATAGGGAATTGACGGCTTCAGAGACCTGCAGTATGAAAATACCATATGAAAATATTCCTTCGATGGATTTGCTTACTGTCATACGATGGGACATCCAAATGGAGTTCTGTAGTACGAGGTCGAGGGGACATCCAAATGGAGTTCTGTTGTACGAAGGGACATCCAATGGTGTTCTGTAGTACGGTGGGACATCGAAATGGGTTCTGTAGTACGATTGGACATCTAAGTGGGTTCTATAGTACGATTGGACATCTAAATAGGTTCCGTCATACGACAGGACATCTAAATGGGTTCTGTAGTATGATTGGACATCTAAATGGGTTCTGTAATACAACGAGACATCTAAATGGGTTCTGTCATACGACGGGACATGTAAGTGGGTTCTGTAGTACGATTGGACATCTAAATGGGTTCTGTAGTACCGTGGGACATCCAATGGCGTTCTGTAGTACGATGGGACATCTAAATGGGTTCTGTAGTATGATTTCTAAATAGGTTCTGTCATACGACGGGACATCTAAATGGGTTCTGTAGTACGACGGGACATCTAAATGGGTTCTGTAATATAAGACATCTAAATGGGTTCTGTCATACGACACATCTAAATGGGTTCTGTCATACGACAGGACATCTAAGTGGGTTCTGTAGTACGATTGGACATCTAAATGGGTTCTGTAGTACCGTGGGACATCCAATGGCGTTCTGTAGTACGGTGGGACATCTAAATGGGTTCTGTAGTACGATTGGACATCTAAATAGGTTCTGTCATACGACAGGACATCTAAATGGGTTCTGTAGTACGATTGGACATCTAAATGGGTTCTGTAGTACGATTGGACATCTAAATGGGGTTCTGTAGTACAGTGGGACATCTAAATGGGTTCTGTAGTACGATTGGACATCTAAATGGGTTCTGTAGTACGATTGGACATCTAAATGGGTTCTGTAGTATGGTGGGACATCCAATGGCGTTCTGTAGTACGGTGGGACATCTAAATGGGTTCTGTAGTACAATTGGACATCTAAATGGGTTCTGTAGTACGGTGGGACATCCAATGGCCTTCTGTAGTACGGTGGGACATCTAAATGGGTTCTGTAGTACGATTGGACATCTAAATGGGTTCTGTAGTACGGTGGAACATCTAAATGGGTTCTGTCATACGACAGGACATCTAAATGGGTTCTGTAGTACGACTGGACATCTAAATGGGTTCTGTAGTACGATTGGACATCTAAATGGGTTTTGTAGTATGATTGGACATCTAAATGGGTTCTGTCATACGACGGGACATCTAAATGGGTTCTGTAGTACGATAGGACATCTAAATGGGTTCTGTAGTACGATTGGACATCTAAATGGGGTTCTGTAATACGTTGGGACATCTAAATGGGGTTCTGTAATACGATGGGACATCTAAATGGGTTCTGTAGTACAATTGGACATCTAAATGGGGTTCTGTAGTACGGTGGGACATCTAAATGGGGTTCTGTAGTACGATGGGACATCTAAATGGGTTCTGTACTACGGTGGGACATCTAAATGGGTTCTGTGGTATGGTGGGACATCTAAATGGGTTCTGTAGTACGACGGGACATCTAAATGGGTTCTGTAGTACGGTGGGACATCCAATGGCGTTGTGTAGTATGGTGGGACATCTAAATGGCATTCTGTAGTATGATGGGACATCTAGATAGTTTTCTGTATAATTTTTGATTTTGATGATTTTTGTCATATTCACTTTTTCGATTCTTTCCAAACATGTAAATAAATTGCATCAATTTTCACCATCACTGTCGTCAAATTTGAAATCAATACCAAAATTAGATATTTAAATGAAACTCGCATCACTTCTAAATATAGATAAATACGTTTTTAAATTGTTTACAAAACATGATATCTTTGCTATTACATTCCTATATTAGCCAATTTATGCTCCACCTCCTATCATAAGGTAGTTCAATACCATTAAAACATGAAAAAAAATGATCACTGTAAATGATTCAAAAATTGTTGTATGATGATTCAATTACATGCATGTCATTCATATTTAATGTTTCACGGGGAAAAAAGCATGAGTTTTTAAGAAAACATATGCAAAATAATCTAAAATATGTCCGTTTTGGGACATTTTCCATAGGATTCCATGTAAACGCATTATTTCGTGGATAACTAATATACTAATACTCAAAATTCTTCCATTTTTTGTGACAGTCATATGTAGCCTTCTAGTACAAAATTTGTAGATATGCTGGAATGTTTCTGCCATAGGAACCAATTGTAAACTACTGTAAAACATGTTGAAAAAGCAGCATGCAATTTTAGCGAATTGTGGTAAAATGAAGTGATAGCGAAATGTTGATTTAGCGAATCTCTCTTTTCAATGTTGATTTCTTTGTTTGGCGGCCATTTTGAATTTATAATAAAGTCATTAGCGACATCTTGAATTAGCGAATCAGTTCTCTCGCTAAATTCGCGAAAAAGACATGTTTTACAGTATTCAATTTTTGGGGGTGTTTAGTGGAAAACTTAGTTTGAAGACCATATATTTTAAATCAAAATTTTGAACATGACAGTCCCCCATAACCCTATTGCCGTGATTTTGAGGATTTCTGAGTATTGTTTTTAAGGTAGTAAACTAATCTAATTCAGAATTAGAGAAATGCCAAAGAAAATGACAAATAAAACATTTGTGTTTCTTTTGGTTTACATACGTGTCACTCTAGAAATTAATAAATTGTGAATTTTCAAATAGGTTACCAGAAAAGTATTCCAATTGATTAAGCATTGAGGCATTCAAAATATGAAAGTGAAAATAAAACTCGGCTAAATTAAGCCCTATACAGAAATTGGTTATAAAAGTAGAATAATGTAAAATGACTAATTTTCACTGGGTTTAAATTTTGCTGATTTACCATTTCAGGCATATTCAGTGGGTTTTAATTTTACAGTTTCATCATTGAGATAATGTGTTCTATGCTAAATTTTACATATTCACTGGGTTTTAATTTGGCGCATTTCCCAGTCAGCGAAATAGGCAAAATTAAAACCCAGTAAATAATTAATCCTTTTACAGTAGTCGTGCAGTATCAAACTAAGTTGAATATTCAAATTATGTGTGTGACTTTAATCAAATCATAGTGTATTGCTAAGATTTATATGACTGAATGTGCTCAGATTTATGTTTTTTCTATGTTTGTTTGACAGATTGTTGCTAGCCATCATGTTTTGGAAGTTTGATCTCCACACTACGTCACA